ATTAAGCCGTTTCATCTTTGGCCAGACTCCCAGCGTTGATGTTCATCCTGCAGCAGACGTGGTGCGCTAGACTCAGGCGGACATGGAATGCGTGGCCAGGTATGTACATTGAACCGAGACATTCGGATGCCGAGTAAATAGCCCAATCCTGAAGTACACAACCAGTAAGGATCAGGATGTGCTTTCGACAGCTACAACGAGATGGTGCATTGCTATGGATGCATTTGCATGTGCGAGTTTTCTTCCTTCCGAAGAACTGGAGCAGAGTGTTGATGAAGCCCTGGTATGTACAACCAGATGAGCGGAGCTGCCAATCCCTGTCTATAACCCAGGTACCTTAGTGAGTGACTTTGTTTTGTGGGAGAGATTACGAGGAAGCTGGCCTATCAGAGCACTGATCTTTCTCCTGTCGACAGCCTAATCGTTGAGCTTTCTTTCTCTACCTAGCCCCTAACAAGGAAGAGGGAGAAGAGACCAGGGCCCAAGCCAAGTCAATCATCACAACGACAACCGTTCCATACCTGTAGCGAGAAACTTATCTGCCAGGGGCCTTGTGAATATCGGTGGTCGAATAAAAATAGCCGGATGTGATCCCGGAATACGCTTGGCTTCTTGATCATCGCTCACATGATCGATTCTGGCTGCAGGGAAATCTGTTGAGGCACTGTGACAGTGGACTTGCCAGCATGCGGGCGATGTTGGCAATCCCTTATGCATACGTACCTATTCAACGCCCAGAGCAGCGTAATAAAGAGAATAAGATCACTTTAGTAGTAAAATAAAAGTAAAGGCATTGGATGTTTCGTTCCGTTGCTGGATGGAAATAAAATTGTCGATGTAGAGGGTGCCCTAAGCTGAGTGCATTGAACCCCTGTCGCCCCCGTTTCTGACTGATGTTGGTTGCCCATTGCCACTGAAAATACCCCAAAACAGAAATAATAATTCTCTCAAGCAACACAATATCAAAGAATGAGTGTTTGGCCCATGAAGAAACTCGGGATACTTTTTGGGTATGTTAAAACATCCAAGGGGTGTCACCTATCATTATACCTACTTAGGTAGGGAAGGTGAGCATCGCGCGGTGGCAGGAGGAAAGTACCTTCCTCCGTAAACGCGTTTGATTTCGGTGGTACCTTCCAACTACTAAGTAAATCTCATGGCCTGCCACCTTCTTCTCGACCTCGCGCTTTCAGTGGAATAGTACGGGAAATTTCTTGCTTGGGACGCGAGGCACTTTGCCATATTCATTGACTGATTCTCAGCTGCTCTTGGATCTTTCAGCGCACCCTCCTCCTTGATGCAGGTCTCAACCAGACAGACTCTTTTAATTCATGGCAAGCTGTTGTTCTCTTGCCGTGTCTCAATCTATACTTGCTTTTCCCTTTGGTTCCCCGTGACCAATAACACGCGTAGATTCGGTCGGCCCCTTCGACTCGACGATCTCCTTCCGACACACAGTACATATCACCAACAGCTACCGCATGCCATGGGTTGACAGCAAACGGGCCGGGCCATAAAGTTCACGAGTACACTCCCCGATGGGGGCCAATCAATAAAATACATGCAGCAGAATAGCGAGGGCCTAACGCCGCCAAAGCGTCACTAGAGAAACGATCGATAATCCACTTCAGTACGGCGGAGTACCTAAGTCCTCATTACGAAGAAGACTCACGGCATGTTGTGGAGTCAGATGGAATACGATTAGTACTATGCATCAGAAAGAAGCAACGACCTCGTCATCATGCGGGAAACCTGATGTGTATTCTATGTAACTCAAATATCCATGTATGATTCACCTTGGAAGCTGATCAATACAACAAGTCTGACCCATGCTGACAGCTCGCGAAACAGTTGGTCAGGAAACAAAAAGCAAAGCTGATGGCCAAAAACTGAGACAGTTACTCTAATGCACGGCGCTCTGTATAGCCTATGTGCCGATGCAGACATGTAGAGATGACACAAAATTCAGTTTTGGCGTTTGGACCAGATCTTTCGACAACAGCCAAAAAGCAATACATACAGCCAAAGGATATCACGCCCACAAACTCTTTTATTTCCACAAAAACCATGTCAAATATCTGCGCCGCAATGATGTTCAGGCTGTCCCGAATCCCCGGGGCTGGCGTCAGGATTGACATTGCGGCTTGCACCATAAGCTGCCGCCACGCTCGCTTGTCACAATCTCGACCCCATCCGAAGGGTCCACCTCCAAAGGCCTGGCTGAGGCAAGGCCCGGTCCGCCAATCGCACACGTCGACCGGCCGTCACGTGAGCTGAAGCTTATGCGGAAGATCCTTGCTAGCTCAAGTTGACTGCATGTCTCCCGCAATCAGTCCCAATTTTCCTCGGGCGCCGTGGCTTTAATGGTCGGGCCGCCATACCTTAATGAGACAGGCGAGGCTGCCATCTCATGAATTTGATTTGCTTGTCGACTTGCAATGTGATGATGGAGGGGGGTCAGCCCAGGGGGTGTCAAGAAAAGTCGAGCAATCATTTTTTTCCTTACGGCGTGGCAGCGACCCAAATATCTGGCTCTCCAAGCCACTAACAAATAAAAATACAACACTGCATGCAGAAGGAATTCTGGGCCTGGGGGGGAGGGAGGGAAAAAAAACAACGAGAACAAGGGTTGACGGTTGCAGCTACAGTTGCATCCATCCATCAAAGCCTGCCACGTCGCAATTTCACGGCGCGGCACGGTCGCTGGACACTTCGCGCCATCCCGGGGCTGCATGTCATCCTGCGCCCTCTAGACCCGGGTACATGATTACAGTGCGAATTTGGTAAAAGGGGCGCAGAAGCCGATTTCTTTGCCAATATTGGACAAGAAGCCGCCGTCAGTCTGCCCCTTGTCACTTCCGCTTCATTCCCCTCTTCGGCAAACGAGCAAGCCAACTATTGCCGTGTCCACACCTCAATTCCATAAACAGGAGGGACTTGAAGAAAATATGTCATGAACCGTTCGGTGCCTCGTTTGCACGTACACGTGTGACGTGACACTGGCCTCAAGATATCTACAGAACTACGAAGCAAGCAAGAGGTGTTCTTTGTCAAGGTACTATCGCACCACGAGACCTCGCCTGCATGCACGGCGACCTGCAGGCTGAAGAATGCGCGTTGATCTGGCCTGGAGTGCCATTTTATGACAAGACGGGAACGGGGCCCCTGCGAGAAAACACGCCCCTGGTTCATTCTTTGCTCTGCTTCAACTTGATGATGAATTGTAATACACCTTGCATTTGTTGTGGTGCCAACTGTCTCGGTCTTGGTCCAGCGATTTCTCGCCCATTGCAGGTTCAGCCAGCCCAACCGCGATAATGTCTCCGTTGAGCGGGTCCAAACAATGCTCGATGCCGGCCACCAGTGATTCAGGCGACCAGCAAAAGAACGGACAAGGACTGGGACAGAACGCCGTCACGGAAGACCTTCTGCCGAACCTCGAGGTGCCGTGAATCCCGGTCCACGGAGCAAGACTCTGGTGAAGCTGGCAACCCCCGGTACCAAAAAAAAAAGTATTTTGCCATGGCAGTTAAGCGGTGAGGTGGCCGATCTGAGTCCAATACTCCGTATGCATGCGTCCGACACTCGCATTCCTTTTTATCTGCAAAGATCATCGTTTTCATTCGTTTGCGTTGTGCCGGGCTCGTATCCCAGTCGGGCGGGCGAAACTACATACTAACTTTGGCGGAATTATTATCAGCACCCTCGTAAGACATACATACAAACAGCGATAGAGTGGCCAGAGTGGTCAACAAAAGAACTGCCGGCCAGGGGCAGGCAAACAGACCTGAGACAGTAGGTAGATGCACATCGCCTTTCCTGGAATGACCTATCTACTGCAGCACTCGAGATGCATCGTTCTTACCGCTTCGAAAGAAAGGAGCTTCTGCGGGATTGTATCATCCCTTGCAGGCCCAGCGATCAGCGTTGGGCGAGGTGAAACCCCGCCCCTTCTTCTCTTTGGGCTTTGTGCATATCCAGGGCTCGCAAGGCGGGATGCCATCTCGTACCACTTTGCTGGTTAGACGGCTGCATGGCCCTGGACACCGTGACACCTGGGACCTTGTTTTGTACACAGATGAAGCATCAGGAATGGGATGGGGGATGGGGAATGCCTGCAGTCGACTGTTTACATGACTATTTCCTGGTTGCAATACGACTACGACTGTGATCACTGACTGTCATGTCATGTACTTTTCCATACGTACTATGCCTTAATTGTACCATCAGTGCACCCCTCGCGGTTGGCGGACCGGTGCGCTCGTGCAGCCGCAGGATCACGGATCACCCGCAATTCGATCCTGGTTTGGTTTGAGGGAGGAGCCAAAAGTTCTCTACTGCACGTACCCAGTCAAATCGTCAAGCACAACCTGTCCAAGACGGCCACGTTTGTTGTCAAGGCGTCTCTCTGTCTGCAGTGTTCTACAATGAGCGGATCATTGAATGGCTGCTGTATCACTCCAACCCAGACAAGTTGAGGAACATGTTTCATCAACCACCAGGTGCAAGTTGCACCGCGCCGTTTGTTGCGGTGTAGTTGCTATCAATGAATGGATCGAGCTTGGCTCCGGCCGGGCCTCTACTAACTAAGGTAGCCAACCTAACGGGCGGGAAATCTTGCTACGCTGTTTTACTCGTCACAGAGCAAAATTGCATTACCAGTATCAGAACAACCCTCAATCCAGTGCGGGGTCTTTCTTTTTGGTCGGCGACTTGACAATGAATGGATGAGGTGGCGGAGATATCGTCAAAACTCTGCGAACCTATGTCTGCGACACGAAATTAACTGCCCGAAAAGTCCCCGCTGCAGCTTGTATAAGACAACCAAACTGAGCAGTCGACAGAGGCTTGTCCTACCTCGCATCAACCGCATTCGACTCTCTGTGAAACTACATTCAGGCTCTCGACAAGCACCGTTTGTCTTATGCTACCATACTTGCTCATACTACTGGTACAACTTGGCCACTGTTTCACCTAACACTGATCCTGACATTGCAACCATGACCGACGTCGTGTCCGAAAACCAGGCTTATTTTGGGTGTGTATCATGAATGAGCGTTTGTTCTCTGTACTGGATGATCGTTGGGAAACCCTCTGGGCGTGTGCGCTTTGCTTAAGTTACTGGTCGTCTTTTCTTATGCTCCAAGGCAGCAGAGCTCACTACGGCATGCGATGCAATGCTACACAATTCATCCAAAGTCCGTCGCTAATGTCGTACAATTATAGCAAGATCGCCACCGAATATGACCAGCGCAATGCGGATGCGATTGTGCAGTTAGAGCGCGGCATCCGAGAGAGGATTCCATTCATTGGTGTCAAGCAAGGTGCGAGGTTGCTAGACTACGCTTGTGGTACCGGCATGCTTTCGAGGGTACGAGTTTCCCCTCCCAGCAGAGATGAGCCTGGACTGACAGTGAGTTACAGGTCTTAGCACAGCATACAAGTGAGGCTATAGGTATTGACTTGTCGGAGGAAATGGTCAGGGTATACAACGTCCAGGCTCAAAGCCAGGTTAGTACCATCCAACAGTCCATCACATGAGCATGTAACTCTGTTACCACGCATTCGAGCCCCTTCGACCTCTTCAAACAGACCTGAATATCCTGACCGCGTGCAGGGCTCTTCCCGCCAAGCCTATCAAGGCAATCTGGCTGATCCCAAGGACCCCTCCCCAACAGCCTTTGCTGATAGCAAGTTCTTCGGATTCGACGTCGCAGGCGTGGGGCTCGGTTTCCACCACTTTGACAAGCCCGATCTAGCATCCAAGCAATTGGCCGAGCGCCTCAACCCAGGCGGTGTCCTCTTCATCATTGACTTTGTTACCCACAAGATAGACCCCAAGGATGCCGCTCTGCGTGGTATAACACATCATGGGTTTATTGAGGACGAGATCAAGAAGATGTTTGAGAATGCTGGACTCACAGACTTTGCTTACCAAGAGCTCCCGGAACCCATCACATTCAAGGATTGTCACGGCCACGATCATGGCCACGGGCATGGCCATAGTCATGATCATGAGCGCAATGAGCACAATCACAGCAGTAGTGGTGAGCATGTTCATGCCCATGGGATGAAGAAGGGCTCAACTACGACTAAGAGGATATTCATTGCTAGAGCGTCCAAGCCATAAAGGAGTATCTATGTCTCGTCGGCCCTTAACAGTACGCCACTCAGCATCAGAGGCAAGTATTTGACCCTTAAATGTGTACGGTGCCAGTAGTTCACACGATGCGAGCTGCCGATGGTCGTCGTCTTGGTATTCGGCTTCCAAAAGGCGACACAGATTGTCTTATTTAGTATCATTACTCAGTTGCATAAATAACAAGTCACACTGACACCTATAATTGCGCAATATCTCCCCGAAGAGCTGCCTCATACGTGATCAATGGTAGTTCCTAGGAAAATTGGCAATCTGCAGCAGTTGCAGTCAAAGCCTGACTATCCAGGGTACCCAGCTCTCTCAGTGCTCCTACTGGCGTCACATCAGCCACCAGACACTGGAATGAATAGGGAGACTCAGTTCACATTACGAGCCCAAATAAAGCCCAGAAACAGCCCGTCCGATCCAACAGTCCGGTCACGCTTTGGTAAAAGAGCCGTTCGTGACCGGAGGCTACTACTAGTCCGGCGTGGGTAAGTCAGCCCCTCGCCCTGGCAACATGCTCCTTCCGACGAAACCTCTCCCTTCAAGTCTTTCCTCACACCCTTATACCCAACTGGACCGTCCCGTCCCGCCCTTGCGGTCGAATAAAACCTTGTCCAGAGGAGGAGCCGTGAGTAGTGGTGTGCGGATGCATTCTTCCGGCAGCGGCCAAGCCACTTTCAATATCAAGGGATGAAGTCAACGATTCTTGGCACATTAGTCAATGAATAGTCGAAGTAGACTATGGGAAATTAGAGATGCCGTCTGTAGACAAAACAAGAGAAGGGAGGGAAATGGCTCGTCCGGGGCGGTGCGATCCCGTGTCTGTTAGGCGGGAAAGGGATATCATGTGAGAGTCGCCCCTTCAGCCTCATCCGCGCTTCCAGAACGCCCATAGCAAGGGTCTCCCAACTCGTGCGACAAGGCTTTACTCTGTGGAAGTACTTTTGGCCACGCCGTTTGTTATTGAAGGGCATCAGGCGACTCTTGGTAAATAAGTGTGAAACACACTTTTATTGTTGACGCTGGTGCCACCGAGCGGAGGTCTGGTCATTTCCGTCGAATGCGCCAGCTCAAGTGCATGAGATACGTGTCAGTGACATTAGCCCTGCCGTTGTCTGTGCGAGGTCAGCTTCGATTATTGAAACGTCTGTTGGTCGTGTAGTGACCAAGTGATGCAATATCATTGGGGTCTGATCGTCGGGAGATTATGAGTTACCATCTCTGGACTAGGGGGGACTTGGCTCAACTGCTGGTGTGATCCAAGGACATGTTCGTTAAACAATCAATTCTATGTTCTAAGAAAACACTTGTGTGCTAATGCATGAAAGATTTTGGTCTTGACAAGTGGCTAATCTTGGCCATCAAGTTCAACGACAAAAGCGCCACCGAGGAGAAGGGCCGGCTCTTCGATGCTATGATGCTCGTAGCTTGTATGTTGTCAGTAAATTGGGCAAATGAAGAAGAAATAAGCCCCGTCGACTGACCTGAGTGTTCCAACACCACCTGCCTCCAATAAGAAAGTTGGTCCTTCTCGTAAAGCGTAGCCAGCCCATCTCATAGCAAAGGCACGTAAGATGTGTCCATGGGCAACAAGTAACACGTCGCCGCATTGATCGCTTCCTTTTTCCATGGCTGGCTTGTGATATTTCTCACGAATCTCCTCTATCAATTGGTCAAGTCTTCTGGTCACATCGTGGGGAGCCCTGTGAGGGTGTTAGACGGAACAACCATTGGATGTTGATAATCAGATATAGGGTAGTCAGGTTTAGAGAGATACTCACTCCCCGCCAGGGCATCCATCCTTCCAGATGTCCCAAGACCCTTTGATCCCTTGTTCAGCTCTGATCTTACGAATCTCAGGTGTTGTGATTCCTTCATAGTCACCGTAGTCCCATTCCCGGATGTAGTCCGTGACCTCCACCTCGGCTTCACATTGAAGGCCAGTACCATCAGGAGCACCGTGAGGTGTCCAAGGAAGAGGGCGATTCAGCCCGAGGTTGAGAAGTTCGAATGTACGCTGAGCGCGTTTTCGTGGGGAAACGTAACTGGGCAGCGCATTAGTTCACTCTAGATCAGATAAAATCAACTTTGGTTGGTGATAATGCGACGTGGTTGGAATTCCGAATTCGCTGGCTCTTCTTGGAAGACATCGGTGTAAAAATCATTATACGTGGGGCCTCGCTAGAAGTATTCTCATACTGATTGTTTGGGCATCATCGTCGGTCGAAGGAGACTTACATGTGAGCAATCTTCTTGGGGGCAATGAGACGGTCAGGCCCAACAAGAGCCTTTCCTGTAGCTCTAACACGCTTCTCGCCATTGGAAGTTAGTGGGATATCAGTCAAGCCAGTATGGCGACCATCAAGTGACCATTCTGTCTCGCCGTGGCGAATAAGAAAGACACGCGGAGTTGACATGTTTGGAATATTGGGAACTTGATGGGGGATTTTTCGAATTCACTTGAATTTGACCCAGCTACAGTGTCCAGCGTCTAGACTATATCAAGCCTGTGAGACTCTGAAAGATTCTGTATCAGGTGTCAGCCAAGCTTCTGGAATGGTCAGAAGGAATGATCTGACGTGACAGTGGCCCGGTGATGGCGGGGTCAAACGAACCACGTCAAAGGTTTGAGAAGTATTGTGGATGAGAATAGAAGTAGGGCGTATCCTATTTCACACGAAGAGAGATTCTTTAGGCAAGAAAACAAAAACGAAAACAAATCTCTACCTAGAGAAGGAGGAGAAAAGACGGCGAATAGATTATCTCCAACCTTGATTTTGGTGTTGAGGATGAAGTGGATGGATTACGTTTGGGTGACAAACCCCGCTGTCTCATCAGTCAGGCACAGTGTGGAGGGGTACCTTCCAAGTACGTATTACATTGACGTTCTTTCAACGTAAACAGTGGAAAGAGCCTAACGGATCAGGTGCCTAGGTACCTAAGGTAAGCAATTATGCAGCGGCCACTTTTGTCGCTTGCCTATAGTAGGTAATCGCAGTGGTTGAAATCACGCGTGTCCGTAGGGCGTATCAGCTTGTGTCTCTGCTTGAAGTATTACGCGGTAATGGTTAAAGGAGAGATAGTGGTCGAAACAGTAAGTGAAACTCTTTATCCTCACGATACTTAACTATAAGTAGTAGGTAGTACCTAACTGAGGTACATAAGGGATGAGCAGGTACCAGAGGTAAATATACAGCCGCAAATCTTATTATCGCCAGGTGCAATTGCCCCAAAAGTGTAATTCGTGAGTCTCGATGAACTCAGTCAACCATCTATTACCGTTCCTTCTGTACGAACATGAGGAACCCTTCCAATTCTTTGACTTCTGGCCTTCTTTGTTCAAGTCTTTTTAACCCAATTCTTCTCCTTCCAAACCTACAATGAATAAGTCAAATCTTTATAATCTTACCAATCCTTACCAATATTTTACTGACTCCCTCTGACTTCAACCTCCCTAAGCCGTGACATCAACGATACCTCACTTCCCCACGATGCCCCTCATCCCCACTACACCCACGCTCTCAGCTGCACACTGCTTAGTAAGGCCACCGATACCGCAAAAGATCCACTCGGCGCCCAACCTCCGTGATGCCGACAATTCTTCCTCCGCCGTGACCGTGACCGTGACCCGGCGATCCGCCTCCGAGTCTCTTCAAGATTCGACAACGGCGACTCCTCCGATTGAGCTTGAGTTCCTTAATTCCAGATCAAAAACTTTGTCTCCACTACCGCCCAATCCATCGCGACCGACCCTAAGCTCCACCAACTCGTCCTCCTCGACATCAGGTTCATATTTTACTGGTGACAAGCTGTCACGCCGACAGCGTAGCAAGCTTTCAGAAGAGATCTGGAAGGGGTACTGGTGATACATACGACCTACCGGATAACAATAACACATACAATGGCGGTGCATCAGTGGACAAGACAAGAAAAGTTCAAGCGCGGTGTTTGGGCTGTCGCCTTTGCAGCATGCATTTTTGCCGGCACCATCACGGGCGCACAACTAAAGACAGATAACGAGAAGAAAGAGGTATGGCAGAAAGAACAAATTCCAAAGCACATGACTAATCAACGAGACAGGCAATCCAGGAGTTCCGGGCGACATCCCCCAACGAACAAATAGCTGCTCTCCTATCCCAACGAAAAACTTTATTATCACAAAAGGCTGTCCTCCAAAGGAAAATAGATGACTTCGAAGTGCGTGTTAAGGAACGCGAGGCTGAGAAGGCAAGAGAAAAGGAAGGCCCATGACTGTGGCAAGATTAAAGTATTGGTGCGGTTGTATTATTGTGTTGTAACTCTATGGGCATCTTGTTGGAATCGAAGCATAGGCGTTATGGATGGTTAAAATGTGGTTTACTGGACACGGGCATCTCCTAAACATACATTATAGAACGATGCTTGAGAGAACGATAGACTCGAAGCTTCCACCGAGACATATGGTTGTTTAATTAACGTTTTATTGATTGAGTTACATGTCATGCCTTCTCCCTACGCCTGACCTCCCTGCCATGCCATGCCATGCTCCGGTCCATTTTAATTCATCAAATCATCTAGCACCATTCCCAGGTGGCCTTATACTTCTAGTCAAGTTCGTCCCAGTTGCTGTTTTTACTCCAGGACACCCTCGGCAGTGGGCAGAGGAATGGCTCGGTACAAGAGGATGAGAGCAGAATGAGACTCACCACCACCGGCGAGAGTCGCAATCTTCTCAGCTTCAACCTCTGAAACCTTGTCGTCGTTGAACCACCACCACTTGCCGTCCTCCTCACCCTTCTTGCCAGTCTTGGGATCAACGGGCGCAGCTTTCTTGACATATGAGGTGTAGTGGCCACTGTCGGCGCTGGCACCTTGATGTGTCACGACACCTCGGAGCTCGTACAGGCCAGACTGATTGGCACCATCGTCATTTCGCAGCTCGGGGTTGATGAGAGCGTTGAGTTCCTTCTTGGCCTCAAGGATGGACGCGTTTCTCTCGGCCTCGATGTCGGCGTCTGTCTTGAATGTCTCGCCCTCCTCGCCCATGACAACGTCGCCATCTGCTGACTTGCCCTCCTTCTTCTCGGCCTCCTTCTTCTCCTTCTCGGTGGGGAGACCAGCACCGCCTGGGATATCGCCGACGTCCTGATCGTGAGTCTTCTTACGTCGCTTACGGGCACGCTCGATATCCTCTTCATCCTTGCGAATCTCGCGAACCTTGTCGCGCACAGGAATAAGAGCCTCCTTCAATTCGTCGGAGCAGAACTCAACAATATCAAGCTCCATGGGGAAAGTAACCTTTCGCATGATCTTGGCCTTCTTCTGGGTCTCTCGCTTCCAGAAAAAGCGCACAAAGTGCACTGTCAGGTACTTAGGAGCACGAGAGATCTTGGAAGTCTTGGTGTAGACTGCATCACGACCCAGAACTTCCGACTGCTTCTCAAGCTTCTCTTTCAGGGCGGCGGCAATGCCATCTCGCAGATGATTTGTTGAGCTGTCGATGTGGCAGTTGAGCTTGGCGAAGCTCTCCTTGTTAATGATGGGCTGCTCGCCAGCGTTGCGCGCCTCTTCCTCATCACACTCCATTACCGAACTGAACTCGCCGGACATGTACTTCTCCACGAAGGAGGTCTCCGAAGTGTTTTCGCTCTTGATGCGGAGCTTCTGGTTAAGTTGCTGCACAATTTGGGACCAAGCCTCCTCTGCATCCTGCTGAGCAAAGCCTTGCCCTGTCTTGGACTTCTCAGCAAACTGGGGAAACACCACTCGCAGAGCGTTCAAGAAGTTCATGGGAGGGAATGAGTCCTGGGTTTGTCCCATTTTCTTGTACAAGTTTGACAGTTGAGATGCCAAGTCCATGTTCGTGCCTGTCATCATAAAGCTGCTGGCGTTGCCATCGGGTTGGTACGTGTCGAGCGCCTCCTGAAGCTCTGGAATCAGACGCAGAGTCTGGAGGGTGGAGTTGAGATAACATGTATTGCCAAGGTTGATCAGACCAGCGGGTGTCGCACCAACTTGTTGAGCCTGCTCAGCCTCCGTCATATCCTCGACAAACTTGATCGCCTCCTTTGGCCGGACAAGGGCATCGCCCCCAGCGCTTGGGGTACCCATCATCATAATGACCTGGCCGTTCTTCAAGCCGAGTTTGCTCATATCGGCATCATCTTTGAGTTGACCACCTTTGAGCAAGATCTTTTGGCGTTCGGGTTCTACGTTGGTCAAGCTGAACATCTGAAGTTTGAAGTCCTCGCCAGTAGAGCTGGGGTCGATCTCGACATCGTGTTTCTTGCCTTGGTGTTTCACCACGACTATAATCGGTCAGTACCTGCTTGTGCAATTGGGCTAGAGACCATGAAAACGCGGACATGGAAAATTACTGACCTGATATGGAGGACATGGTTTCAGCCTATCAGAGCTCAAGCGTCGAAGGAGAGGTGCGGTAAGACGAATTTGAGTCTGTCCTGGCACTGGATGCCGTCTATTGGACGATTCTGTGAAGGAAGGGTCTAAAAAGACAATATAATAGTAGAAGAAAAAGAAAACGCCCTGAGTTAGCGTCCCTTTGCCCAAGGTTGATATTTGCGAGGCGTGGAAGATGCTAGAGGTGCGTCACCAAGTGGTACCTGGACGAAGGCGAGATGTTAGTGGGGAAAGCGGTGTAGGTAGCTTCCGCGGGGCAACCAAAGAGTTCAAGAGAGACCTGTGGCTGTGATGTTATCAAGCCACAGACAGCTCTTGAGGCTCAAGCTTCACACGTGAACCTCCCCAAGTTTCCCGCATCATCGCCCCACCTAAAGACACGGGAGACGTCAGGCCTGGCGACGCCTCACCAACAACTGCGCCTCACCTCGCCGAAGCTCCAACCTCCAACGTCAACGTCGACCGACCCCGCCGAGCTCCGTGTTCACCGTCGACATCTACATTCGTGCTATTTCGAGTTAATTGAGCACGTCCGAGGACGTACTTGTTGTCATGGTACATGCTCAATGATATCTCACGGTCCAGACCGCAAGCTGACAGCTATCCCCCGCTTAGTCTCAATCCCTCCGACCCTACCTGCAATGCGTACGCAGCAGCTTGACCGCCGCGCTCACACTCTCCAACTTTGCTTCCCAGACCGCCGAGCGACACAATGTTCCAGAGATTGAGGCTCAGACGTCCCCCGAGGTCCTGTTGCAGCCCTTGACCATTGCGCGCAACGAGAACGAGCGTGTCTTGATTGAGCCCAGCATCAACTCTGTCCGTATCAGCATCAAGATCAAGCAGGCCGACGAGATTGAGCATATTCTGGTCCACAAGTTTACAAGATTCTTGACGCAACGTGCGGAGTCCTTCTTCATTCTACGGAGGAAACCTATCAAGGTCGGTTACTGGTCATGCGATACTCAATTGAGTTACCCCTGACTGACGTTGTTGTAGGGTTATGACATTTCTTTCCTGATAACAAACTTCCACACCGAGGAAATGCTGAAGCACAAGCTTGTCGACTTTATTATTCAGTTTATGGAAGAGGTTGACAAGGAGATTTCTGAGATGAAGCTATTTGTGAGTAGTTAGACTGTAATTCTAAGCATCCCCATGCTAACTTGTCATAGTTGAACGCTCGAGCACGATTCGTGGCCGAGTCTTTCCTTACACCTGTAAGAATAATCCAATCGCCATTACCACAATCTATGAGATTACTGACTTCAGCAGTTTGACTAAGCCCCTCAGCTGGTTTGAGGCTTGGAGTTTGCTTGGGAGTGTCGGTTGTCGCAATGTTTCTGTGACCAGGCAAAATGTATCAATCATTCGTGATAGCATTGAACTGCAGAGGCTCTGATAGGCGAGCCTCATGCCGTGGTGAGGAAGGAGGTTAAAGATAAAGACATTAGATATAAACTTTGCCGACCTCACCGAATTGAAGTGCGTATCTTTCTGGAAACGAGACCTTTGTTACATCTGACAACGTCATTCTGGGGTAGAGGCCATGATTTCCAGTCTTATGCCCAGATTAGTATGTGAGTTCTTTGATCAGAGTACTGCCAGTTGAGGAGGGAGGCATTGTCGTGATCGCCTCGTGGGCTCAATGGGTCTTTACGTAAGAAATTAACACGTTTTTGAACCAACTACCATTATCTCATCCTTCATAATTGATCAACTTTCATTTTTCATAAGCATTGTTATTACTAATATCCTCAGGTATCTATGCTATCTGTTACTGGCCACTACTGAACTCAATTCTTACAATAGCAAGTGAATCACTGTCAAACACTTGCAAGGAACCGTCTCTGATATCCCCTTTAGCCCCTTTCTATTGTGCTCTGCTTTCAGCCTTTTCTCTTCTCCTTCTTTAGACAAGTGCCCAGCACCGTCAAGCTAAATCGATTCTTCATATACGTTCTTTTCTTGGAGTCAATGGCTTGACCCTAGTGCTGCTTTGTTGCTAGGCAGCTTTCACTTGACCCTCAACAACAATTCAACCACAAGTGCCCATTGCACTATTTCAAGCTTAACAACGCTAACCTGCCATGCCTGCATCTTCATCGCTCTGAATCAGTCACTGAGATTCTCTTCTTTCTATCCTCTGCCCTCTGCAGTTGGCATTATTTCTTTCCTTTCATCCTCTAACCCTGACCACTCTTCACCTTGACACTCTGGGCCATTCCGCTCTATCAACTCAGATCATCTTGTGCTCTTTCAAGATAATCTGATCAAGGTTTGTATTCTTTCCCTTGCCTCTTGAAGCAGGAAATCTCTTCATCCGTCCATTCTTCAACCTTCAACAAGGATCTGCATCCTTGAAATACTGACTTCTACCCAACACTTTCACTCGGCAACGCTAACTATCCATCGAGCCCAGTGCTAGCCTCTAGAAACTCGGAAGGCATTTCTTTGCTTTCTCGCCTACGCCCTTACGCCCGCCATACACGAGTCCTGCGAACCGCCAGCTCCAAAACCCGAACAGTTCCGCGCGCGTCTTGAACGCAGCTCTCCGATTGCGCCCAGGTTCTTGTTGCAGTAATCTCTCTAACTCCGCATCGTCTCCATCATCAGCAGTGTGTGACAGTCCGTAAGTCCTCTTTCACTTGTCTTCTTTGCAAGCCGCCGGCAATATCAGTATCTGCAACCACCGTCGTCCCGTTCTTCTCACCAACCTTCGCCTGTGTTTTACCTCGCGGCCGAATCTGACATGCCTTTCAAACAAAAAGGCGGGGTTCAGGAAGCTCAAAAGACCGCGTGCACTCCCTGGGCGCAACCATCTTCTGAAACGCTTGCAAACACTTCCTCTTCATTCCTCAACTAAGCTTGCACCTGCAACTCATTCTTGGGATCACACACTAACATTGAACTTCATGAAAAGCTTCTGTGGTCACGTGTGACCTTCATTGCTCTGCCCTTGAAGTTCTGAACACTCCACTGATCTCTTTCTCCTTTCTCTCTCATTTGAACAAGGACTTCGGGCGCCTAAGCTTCTACCATCTTTTTGATCCTCAACTTGTCTCAAAGTCAATCGACTGATTGTAGACACTCAGTTCAGAAACACAGCTGTCTTTCCCAAATTGTCCCTCACCGCGCCCGAAATACCGGCACAAAGATTCGACTGGTAAGCTTTTCCCGCACTCCTACCCAATACCTACAACAAATAGGGATCTGTCTCTAGTATTGTAGTTCAGTATCTATTCGTTGAACGATAGTTTGGTCAATGACGTTGATGTGCTGACTGACAACTCCTGCAAGTCAGACCAACCGACCACCTCTGGGCTAACCAGATCATTCTGTGCTTCTGATGGCTCAAGGAGACTCCGGAGCCCAACGCTCTGGCCAGCCAGCTTCCAACCCTCCCTTCAATGCCCCGTCCTTCTATCCGCAGCCTCGCGGAACTCAAGGTTCGGACGGCGGACATCAACCCCAGGCTGCTTCGCACATAGTATCCAACGCGAATTCTTGGGTCCCATCAGCCCAACAGGCTCTTCACAATGCCCTTCAGGTAAGTGCCTGAGACTCTCACTGATATGGCCTCTCAACCACCCACTAACTCTGGGGCAGGCCAGCGGATATGCTGGTACCCAGCCTGGTATGAACATGGCAACAGCCCTTCCTGCACAGTACTATGGCTTTTCTGGTCCTCCCACAGCACCGCCCAACAGCCCCTCAGACGGTGCTGCCCAGACAATCTACTCAGTCATGTCATACGCCCCTAACGCTGTGGCCCCTTAGATGGGAGGTCACTACCAAGGTAATGGCATGAACATGATTGGTGAGACAGTCAACGGCACAATCGATGGCATGATCAACAACAACAACAATGCTACTCCTTTAACATCTGGGCATGCTTCCCACATCATGCCTAGTGGTGCTACACCTTCATCCAACAATAGCCCTGAACATGTTATTGTAAATGGATCGGCAAGTGCTGCTACAACAAATGAGGCTTGTCAGGGCAATCACCTCGCAAATAGCAACACTGGAGGAGGTCTTGGTGGCTCAGAGATTGGCAATCATCTTACCAATGGTACACAGCTTATTGTAAGTCTTAACTTATCCTGTTTGTGTCATCTTGAGATACATAAAGTCTTATGGCAAATCTACTTCACGATCCATCCTAACCTTGGCAACCCCAGGCTACTCAGTATACTCGGAGCAGCAACTCTGGCAGTGGAGGACAGACTAGCTTTCTGTCTCCTCCTCGTGGTCGCTCATCGGCATCTCAGCCGGGCAGCCAACATTCTGCTCGCTCCCACCCTGCTACTGGTGGCCAACAGTTCTACACCCCTATTGGAGTCTCCCAGACCAATGTTTACAACCCCAGCTTGCCTCAAAGTGTTTCCTACAATTCGGGTCTTTCTCTTGCAAGCCCCAGTCACACTCCGCACCACTACAGCGGACACCGCATGAGTGCTTCGCAGTCTACTCCCAACTCGGGACCTAACCAGCATCTGACAGAGCCGCGAAATTACGCACCACGATCATCCGCCCACGGTATCAACAGCTTACCTCCTCCTCGATTCGACTTGGGTCTGCAGGCTACTCCTGTGACACATGAGTCCGCCCCCCAGGACCCTTTTGGTAGTCCCGAACGTGCTGAACCTACTGCGTTGATTCCGTTTCCGAATCTGCCTCCGCCCGCTGTACAGCAGGCCATGCTCGCGGCCCCTATGGCCGGGCACTTCACCAGCAACATGTCGCCTGAGCTATCCAAGTTGGTAGACACTCCTTCAGGCCTTCCTACCCTTGAGACTGCAATGAAACCTGAGTTCTTTCCTTTTGCAAGCGGCCCTGGCTCTGCCAAAGCCTCTGTTGCCGGCGCTATCCGTCTTAAGAACGTGAGTACCTGTTTAGTCTGAGCTCCATTCCGCTTTTCTGATCTCGTTAGATACCCTTCTCAACCAAGCGCGCCGAGATTGTGGCCTTTATCGGCCGCAATAGCCGTATGTTGCCGGATGTGGATGAGCCCATCCACATAATCATGGACAGGGCAACCTCCAAGACCATGGACGCGTTCGTGGAATTTGTCACCATGGAGGATGCGATGCGTTGTGCCGAGAAGCACCACCAACATTCTCAGGCTGGTCGTGTGAGTCGTCTTGGAGAACGCTCCATTGAGGTTGAGCTGTCGAGCCAGTCTGCACTCATGCAGGATCTCTTCCCTCTTGCCCACGGCGTGTTTTGGGATGGCGCAACTCCTAAGGTACTTCCCAACAACCATCAAGAGCCTTGGGAGAACTTCAAAGGCTTCATCTCCCCTGAAGAGATGGTCATGCTCGTCAAGCATGTTGAGGTCCCTCATCGATCTCCATTCTCGAAGGAGTGCCCCCAGCGCCCTTACGAATGCCTCATCAGCACTCTCCGCAAGTTTCCCTGGTATGCCACTGACCATATTACCATTTCTCAGCGGGGTGCGATGTACAAGGCGACTATCAAGCTCCTTCGTCTGCTTAGCAGATCAGTTTCGCAGCAGGATGATCCTGTCAACCTCACCTCCCAGCTCTTTCAGCGAGTTGTCCAGACTGCGATGCAGTGTCATGGCTTTACCGCCCTTCAGAAGGATAATATTGCCTTCATGGTCCAGATGATCCCCATGGAGCAGCAGCGCCGTCACCACCAGCCGGCCAACGCCAACTGCTGGGTTCACCAGTACGCCATCACGCGAAAGCCCGAAGCTCCTCTCGACCTTGTTGAGTGGTACATTCGTCTGATCCGTGAGCAGAGCACTCGTGATATCCTGGTCCGCCCTATCCATGAGCGTACTGTCATTCAGGAAACACTCAAGGAGACTGATGAGTACTGGGGTTATTTTTTCAACGAGGTCAACTACATCCAGGGTCCTCAATTTGATCAAATGACTCTGGGCCAGTGTGCCTACCTCGAGCTCTCAGCTATCGAGCGAATCCTTGGCCGCGCCCTTGGCTACAACTGAACAAACAGCGAGTGGTACCGTTATTGCTCTGCTTCGGTGCCCTGTTGATAATAACTTGATTTGCTCCCTGACTTTGCACATCACCATTCGGCCACCCGATTTGCTTTTTTTTTGGTTTGAGACGGCTTTATGAGGCTACTCATTTCGCTTCTTTTAGATTTCATTTTCGCACAACGCCTTGCATCTCAGCGTCACACTGGACTATGTCACCAGTGATCTTTGGTCATCTTTTTCAACACCCAAGACTCCCTAGCCACTTCTTCGGCACTATTTGCTACTCAGCTTTTGGTTGACTTACTCGGGGCTAAGGCTAGAGGACCATAAAGACTGGAGGAAGAAAACGCGTGGCGCACTAATAGGCATGTTAATTCAGGAGCGAGGATGGATGCCAGCTCAGGGTTATACAGAGGACGCTAATGGTTCGGAGCTTAAGGAGTTTGGGGGATATTGCCTGTGCTTTTAGGTCACTCGAGAGTCTAGTGGCTGTATACAAAAAAATATAAAAGAGAGAATATAAAAGAGAGAAAAAAACGATGGAAAAAAAAAAACCGTTTTTGGTAAATTGTGGTGATGGTTCGTATTGATTGTACAGTGTACATACAGAGTCTACCTGTCTAGGTACCTACTACGGATACAGTTGAACCATATCAATGTTGTGCCCATAGTACTCCGTATCATGCCCCGGCTGTTTCACCTTTCTATTACATTCTCCTCTTGGAAAGATAAACTTGCATTGTTATCCAGGATCCAACTACTTTCGCAAACGGCTTGTCTGCCGTCACATTTTGTCACATGTAATGTTTTGAATCTACTACCTCTGCCCGTTTGTGGGCTTAAGCAGGGTGTGTGCATAAGACTTGAGAATGGATCAATTGATTAATGCAGCCCTGAAAAGCTGCATGTTTATTCAGGCACAGGCGTTGAATAGCCCCTTTACCCCTGTTGGGTACCTAGCTGTAGCTCCAAAGGGACGCACGGCAACTTTGGGGACTATCCCAAATGAAGAAAACAACCAGACACCTCAATTAAAGGCCTTCCAAGTCTACACTGCCTTAAGTTTACGCAAGTATTCTCGTAACTTGTAGGATAAAGGTCCTAAGTTAGCTGGAATTATATACATAGAGAAGCCCTTAGAAAATCACCAGACTCTAATTGGATTGGATTGGATTGGCTTGGATGTCGAGTGCCTGAGTGTATGTAGGTACATATTTCTCAGCGTCCAGCCAATGAGAAGGAACATTCATCAGAGTGTGTCCAATGTAAACGGCCTTCAGGGTATCCTCGTCATCTCCACTTGCCGAAACTTCAGGGTGTTTCCCGCCCTTGGCCCCACGGACACTAAGGTAGGATCGGCCGTCAAGCTGTCTCCCTTAATAATAAGGTAGGTAGGTAAGTACCTAACGTTACGTTGGTCCATTCACCTGATAATTCGTGCTCCCTTCTTGAACGGACAAACAACATCATCAGTCGAATTATATTCGTCGAAACGAGTTTCACTTTCCCGTGTGTGTTTGTTTGTCTTTTATTATTGTGCTCCCGTCTCGCTCGGCAGGTGCACCAAAACAATCATCCACTTCAGGAGCCGCGTCAGACAAGACTCGTCAAGTCAACAAGGACAAGGACAAGCTGAACACAAAAAGCTTCGATCCCCCCGCGATCTCCATCACCGGGCTCCTCTCGTCATCGTCTCAATCATCTCATCATCTCCCACCTTCTTATAGCCTCAACCACTATCATGGCTGCCGAACAGGATAAGACCGTTCCCGCTGCCGTCCCTGCTGAGAACCCTGCAACTCCCGAGACGCCTCTTACCAAGCTCAATGCTCGCCTTGAGGATATCTTCACCAAGACACTCCACAAGGAGATGTGGGGTGTCCAGCTCACCAACATTGACCATGTCCCAACAAAGGTCGTCCTGCAAAAGTTCCTCCGCGCCAACAATGATGACCCAGTGGCAGCTGAGAAGCAACTCACTCAGGCTCTTGAATGGCGCAAGAAGATGAACCCTACCGCACTCGTCACCCAGACTTTTGACAAGAGCAAATTTGGTGACTTGGGCTATGTCACTGTCCACAAGGGAGAGAATGGCAAGGAGACCATCATCACCTGGAACATCTACGGTGCTGTCAAGGACAACAAGGCCACCTTTGGCAATGTAGAGGAGTAAGTTTCAACCCCAGCCTCAGGAAGCAGAATATCTGGCTATACTACTCTGAACTTGGGGGACTATTGATGCATTCATCAAATAGTCCTCAAAGGTCGGAATAGTTCAGCTAAATCTTCATATAGCTTACGTTTAAAGTCTTGAGTTTTCTCGTTTAAATGAAACAGTTTCACTGACTCTACACCAGGTTTATCAAATGGCGCGCTGCCATCATGGAGCTCAGCGTTCAGAAGCTCAAGCTAGACCAAGTCACTGAGCCAATTCCTGAGGGGGGTGAGGATCCGTACCAGATGATCCAAGTCCACGACTACCTCAATGTCAGTTTCTTCCGCATGGACCCTGCCGTCAAGGCCGCCAGCAAGGAGACCATCTCCGTCTTCTCAATGGCCTACCCTGAGTTGCTCGCGCACAAGTACTTTGTCAATGTTCCCGCCATCATGGGATGGATGTTTGGCGCCATGAAGCTCTTCCTTGCCCCTGCTACTCTCCGCAAGTTCCACCCTATGACCTCTGGCACTACACTGGCCATTGAGCTCAAGGGCATCGTTTCTACTTTACCCAAGGAGTATGGTGGTCAAGGACCAAGTGTCAAGGAGGGTATGTCTGTCTCGGTGACTGAGACTGGTGAGACCAAGG